GTAAATGATTTGTTATGAAATGCAACTCCTCAAGACTAACGCTTATCTCAAATATGATAACTTCTTTTTTATGAGTTCCAAGCAAGCTTAATCTAATTAACCGTGTTTGTGAAAGCTTTTATCCGAATAGGATTGAGTGAAAATAACAGTATAATGGAAAATCACAAGCCAGATACAACGTTCAAACGCACCATCAACTGCAGTCGTAGTGAACAGTTGCGGAAAAACGACAAAGTTTGTGTTTTGCCAGACTGCATCGGTTAAGCCGTAATGCTTTGACATGAAGGCGAGCAGTATCACTGAAAGCCATCGTTCGTTTAGATTATCATTAACAGTGATTGTTCACTGTAATGCTTGATTCAAATTGACATACCGCTCGGATTGTCGAAAGCGACATCATGTGCAGCCATGCGTTCGTACTGTAGCATGAATTCGAACAGCTTCTTGCCGTAACCTTGCCTTTGACGTGAGAAGTGAACATAGAAATCGAGCAATGCCAGGAATTCACCTTCATACGGTTTCATCTCACGATCGTACAAGAAGAGCTGCTTCCGACCGACTTTCAGCATTCCGATCAGTTTGCTTACTCCATTCTCTCTTTATTCAGTGATGAACAATCGTTATTTGATCATTTAATCTCGATTATTTTACCATTTTCCAAATGTTCTTTCATTAGCCATTGCATACTACTTGATTACAGCTTTTTGCTACCAATCATTCAGCGGAACTAGTTGAGGTGTTCTGACTTAAGAGTTGCTGAGGCTCAAAACCTATGGAATGTTTCACAGTATTCAAGGTACTTTTGATCAAACATGTCAAATATCACATTTGGAAATCAATTCATAGGACAATAGCAGTCTCCGCTATCGTGATAGCATATCAATGGTTATCCCTTGTCAAAGTCTAGCATTCTACAAGAGTTTATGCCTGATGACATCACTTCTATTGACCTGAATTATACAGAACTACAATGGACGATAGCCTCGCCACGTATCGACGATAATTCAGCCGCCACCATCAAAACGCATCAATTACAGCAATTAACTCGGAAACACCCTCAAAGAACACTGCACGAAAACAAACTCACTCGTCTTTTTCCCATATAAGATAGAGAATATTATCGGTGTTGACGAGTTTTTCACAGGATGTTAATGGTTTTCGTAGTTGCATCGCTTTTGCAGACAGAAGAGCTAGTTCATCGATGGCTGAGTACAGTCTCGGTTCCCTTAATTCCAAATTCTCTCATTATCATCTCATCGTTTTGTAAGTCCTCATTTATGACTGAAGTAAAAAGCTAATTTCTCTAGGAGTTCACAGGTAAGAGTGAAAGCAATTGATCGAGTTCAATTGAGCTGATTGCTGCGCATATCGGAAGTTGTCAAATTATTTTCATTTCGCTTTTTGCATCATTGAGGTGGAGTCCTACTGTCCGCTTCAGACACATTGACAGTAAGGCGTCGTCCATGCAATTTCCGTGCATTACTACTGCTTTTGTGACATTTCACCAACTGCACAGCAATAAATGTTAGCGAATATCCTTTTGCATCACTAGATGGGCATGCTTGCCTTGTATACAACAAGCGAAGGCGATTTTGGTCAAAGCTTACAGTGGAAAACTCGGAGAACCTCATTCGTGCGATATTCATCATGATTTTCGAAAAAAACCGCTTTTCACTGAATCTAAGTTGCTCTAATAGCTTATTTCTGATCAGGTCTATTAAAATGGACAGTAGTCAACCGTAAAGTGGGGTTAGATGTGATGCGCAAAGAAAATACAGTCAACTAAACAACGAAACGGTAACGTATCGTACTGTAGATGTTTGATGGCCATAGCATCGAGACGAACAATTGAAGAGCCGAGCAGAGGAGTAAGATCGGTAGCCACATCCATGGTTGAGACAAGAGCTGTTGAATGAGAGTTTGGATGGGTTTAGCAGTGTTGATATGATATGAAAGTATCACTGATATTATTCTAAATGCATGTTAATGAATAACTAATGCTGTATTTGATGGCATCTTCGAAGCTCATTCATCCATTCGCGGTTGCTTGCTAATATCTTCCTTCATTCATATTCTATCAGTGAATTAATTTCTAAACAAGCGCTCATCAGTTATGCTCTTCTCGTTCTTTTTATTCGTTTATTTTTTTTTGTCTGTGTGTCGCTCAATTATTTTCCCGACTAAAGGAGGTTTGTTCAAGCATCGCAACATTGCAATGAACTCGTAACATAAACTCTAATATCTTTATTTATTCATTCCACCATTTCTATTCAAAACTCCTCCCTTGCATATCCCATTCAATTGAAAGCTAACAAACAACAGCAAAAGCATAATATAATATACTGCTGCTGTTACTATTGCCTGCGGTGCATATCCATCCAATCCACACATCTATCCAGACATTCCCATCCATCCGCCCGTACCAATCATCATATACTCCTTAGTCACTCAGCTCAAACAAGAAGACGACGACGATTCACATTAAAATTTGATCATGCTATGTAATCAATGTTTGTGTGGCTGTTATGTCAGTTGTGTTGTTATTTAACAACCACAATAATGTTCCACTATCAAACGGGTCGTAATCGAGGTCGGGTTCGAGGCAGTAATAACAACTCTCCAACTGCTACCACCTCATCTATAGCCACAATAGGCAGTAATAGTATTGCAAGTCATGCAACTATTACATTACTTGTACTGCATTATTCATTGGGTGAATTGCGCGTTGTGGATGCATTAACTTGTATGACATGTGTTACGACGTTACATCAGAGTAGCCAACTGGATCGATTCCGTGTGACAGCACGTCTACCACAGCCAACCTGTCAAATGGAACCGATCGTGTGTGATCGTGATCAAGACGTTTGTGTGACGATCACTATGCATATTGGACAAGGCTATTATTGGATTGGTGCTGGATGCGATAAACATGAGCACTTCGAGCATATGTCGTGTCAAAACATTCCAACGATGACACGGAACGTTCAGTTGGGTACCGTACATGAACGTAAAGCACTACAACGTGTCTGTGTTTGTAAAAAGGATCGTTGCAACGGTGCACTATCAATGAAGCACTTCATTCGATCGGATTCATATCTGATGATTACGACTATCTTTATTGCTATAATGTATTATCTATGTACGGATATTTTATTATTCAGTGAGTATTTTATTCCAATCACTTAGCCGCACTCTTGTTTCATCAGTGTTTTCATTGGATTTTGGTTGATCCGCTCTTCGACTGATATTCATCATCACTTCAATTCACTGCGCTTATTACACAAACTTTTTTTTGGTGTGATGTGCTTACCGAAGCTGCAGCATTTCTATTCAGATACTTTTGCGTGCTTCCCCTCAACTATGGATGCAATTTGCTTCGAGTGACTTCAGTGATTATCTCTATCTGTACTATAGTCCTTTCTTGCAATGTGCTGCTGCTAATCAATTACCGTAGCACACGAAATGCTTTCAAATTCAGCCACTGCAATAACGAACTTTTGCTCATTTTCGTAAACTTTCAACTATGAACGCAATAATTTATCCACATTGGCGTATCAAAAACAATCTCAAGTCATATGAATGAACAAAACCAACAAAAAACAATTTACAGTTTTAAAACAACATCATTCTCGAACAAAAAAAGCATTAATCCGAGTCACCTTCATCTGCCATCATACGCTCATTCATAGTCAATGTTATGTGCTTATGCTCAGAAAGCTCTCGACGTTCCCGTTCCCGTTCCGCACTCCACGCATCTGTCAATCCACTCGGTGCTTCCATTGGAATTGCCTTCAGAACCTGCAATTGAACTTTCAACAACCACTGCGCTCAACAACCACTTCAGTCAGAGCATATTTGATCGATGCATTCCAACTTCAACTACCCACTTCACTTCATTTTATCAATTCGTTCCTTACAATCATCACATAACATTTCAAATTATTCAACGCACTAAAAAAAACCTTAACTGAATCCATTAACTAAAAACTATTAATATATTCTTCCACAATTCCTAGACTACTCATCAATATTTGAATGCTAACAATAAATCTCGAACTATTCACATCGCCAAATAATGCTCATATATATCCAATGATGTCTAATTGCTGCAAAAGTGCCTTTCGTATCCGTACAGGATCACAAATCAATCCTCCGAATAGAGCTCATCGTTTCCCATCGCCCCACAACATTATTCCACAGACTTATCATTATCATCATTACTGTTCTCATCATTATTGTAATTTCTCCGTTCTCATCATTCCTATAATTCCCGGGTGATTCGTGGATTCCAAAATAAAGCCACTGACCGCTTTATTGCCTTTGGTTTTCGTTAAAATCGCCATTCGAGTCATCTCCGACGTATCGGCGGCACTCGCCGGATTACTCTTTATCGGATTCGATTGAGGGTCAGCTGTAAGTTTTTTTTTTGATTTCTAATTTTGCATTCATCTTGATCAATGCAACATATACTACAAAATTAGTCACATTCATCTTTCGAATACCAATTCGGTTATGTTTCACCACTCATTAAGCGACTAATTTTATTTGAAGTACTTCTGAAGAGTACTTTCTCTTCCCCGCACAAACACAACAAACGTTAACCTTTTTCACTATAAACAATCAGCTGAACTGTTTATTCGAGACTAAAACATCACGAATCAAATTTCTTTGCACTCAATCCTTCGGACTATTAAACATTCAACAATCGTTGCATTTCATATGAGTTGTCCATCAAAAAAATAAGTTGTCCAACTAACTTATAAGAATTCCCATAAAAGTACGATAGCGTAATGCACAAAATAAAAGACCATTCAATAATCCCTTCCCCTTCATTGGTCAATTATACGTATGTAATACGTGTTTAAGCATGCGGCTATATTACGTGAACAATTACACTCTAAAAAGAACATATCTTTGATATGAATATGAAAACTTTTACGAAAACGACTGGCGGAACTGAAAATTGCGGAATTGAGTATGATTTGGGCATGCAATCATGATTAGACTCTCCTCTCCACCGACAAAGAATTCAGTCCAATGTGAACGATTTTTTCAATGAGAACGAAGCGAATGGTCAGTTATAATATATTTTGACAGATGAACAGTGCGAATTTGTGATGAGCTGAGAGAATACTAAAATCCCGAAATGCATTTGCTTTCTGTGCTAAAAAAAAACTTCATGTCTGAGCTCAAAATTAAGCTCCGAAAAATGCAGAGAAAAATATAATATTTTTGCTATTCTCTTAATAATTTTTGTTGTGATTTAAATCAGCAACATGCTGCACTATATCTTCAATTGTCGAAATATGTCATCAGAGGACTCCCGTTGCTCGAACTATTATACTCATCAAACAATCCTATCGACTTAATCAAAGCAAAACTCAATCAAACCATTTTGACAAATCCAATAAATCGTAATCAATATGTCACAAATCTTACATCTATCAACGAATTTATCACTGAAAATCTTTGTTAATTCAATTTGTGAGAATCATCGCAATGATTCGTTGAGCATTTAAGTGGATCAAATGCACATATTATACAAACCACCCGACTGAAATCAACCATTCGAATTTATTTCTCGAAAAACGATCGCAAATTTCGTGACTGACAACCAAAAACAATTAGTAACGCAACTGCGTTCCTGTCCACCACTAGGACACACAAAATCTGCGTTCATTTAATCAGATAACAATCCGAAAAAGTACACGAAAAACATAATTCATCGCTTAATGCAGCAGGAATACTTTTAAAGCTGCACTTAATAGATGAGGATAATGTTATGTGATTTATGTCTTTGATGAATGTGCAACGTGAGCAGATGAAGGCATCTTGCTTTGGCAGTTCGGGGAATTTTTGGAACTTGACGATTAGTTTGCATGAGTGAAATTCATTGAATGGTAATGATTATAGATATGCATGAATGCATGAATTTAACATGTTAGGTTTGCTTGCAAATTATAAGAACACTCAAAACTATACTGGTCCAAAGGATCGCACTGACAGCGCACTGAGTTTCATCGATTTCGTGAAAATTTTGAAACATTCTCTCTTCATCTCATGTTGAATCTGATGAACAAAAAAAACCAGCACTAAACGGTATGCGATTCACCGCAGTGATTCACCCCATTAAGATTGTAACGCAACGCAACAACTATTGTGAACATATCGCATTGGTCAATAAGAATTTGATTGGAATGAATGTGACTAGCACAAGAAAAAACAAAGGACATTCACATAAATAAATAAATAACCGCGAAAAAAAACTGATGAATAAAAAAATAAATATATACCGAATGTAATATTGCGGTGAAATTTATGACGTGCCGAAGTCGGTACAGTTATTTCGGTGATTGGCGTTTGTATTGTGGGCGGTCGACTCT